GGGTATTTAATTGAGGTCCATGAATGGACCAGTTAAAAGTTTTGTGTAGAACTGAAGGTTGGAATTCATATTTTATGTTGAAAAAGATGGATTTATGGTTTCGTAAGTTTGGTAAGGTGAAGATAAAGGTGAAAGTTGTGGTGGCTGGGTTACGTTTGTAGCAAATGTAACATATAATTCTATACTTAATTGAAGTTGATTTGAATCGTGGATGTTGAAGAATGCCTCGACGTCTTCATCGTCGTTTAACTCAATACATGTGTAGTTGCTAACTCCCGGGCCAAGTCTAATTGGGTAGTGAAAATGAATGGTTGTCACCCTTTCATTTTCATCTCGGTTGAGTTTTGTGTGGATGACTTTCTTGAGACTTTATAAAGTCACTCCCCTCTTTAGATGTACCAATTTGGCTGATGATGAGGTGAACGTGACTCCTTCATAAGGACATTGGTTAATGGCACCATCAGAGTAAACAATGACATAGATTGAAGACATTTTTAGAAGGAGAAGGTTCACAAGAACAAGGAAAAAACTTAGAAGGTTGAATGAATAAAATGAACACAAATATGACTATTTATAATGGTAACATTGGATTCTCAGTCATTCAATGCTTCACTACCACGTTTTACGAGTGTGGTGACCTCTCCGTAGACTAAGAGATAGTGACTTCTCAAGATTCTAAGGCTACTCTCTCATACCAAAGTTTATCTATAAATATGTTTATCCAAGGCCACATGTTTTCATTCAAACTTGCATCCATTTTTATTCTTTGTTTCTCTTTATCTTTGCTCCCATTACTAAAAATGTTGTTCTGGAAGCAAAAAGAACACAGGTCCGGCTTCATTGGAAGAACGGTAAGTTTTATACATTACCATTGATAATAACTTTGGTCGAGAGGTGGAGACCTGAAACTCACACATTCCATTTTTCAACAGGGGAGTGCACCATAACCCTAGAGGATGTTGCACTTCAACTCGGGCTAATAGTTGATGGTTTACCAGTCATTGCTCTAACAATGTTTGACTGGGAGGAAATGTGTGACACATATCTCGGTATCGTGCCAGTCAAGGGAGAGTCACTATTTGGCTCTATGGTAAAACTGAAGTGGCTGAAAGACAACATGTTGCCATTACCAGAAGAACCATCTAAAGAAGAAGTTCAGACTTATTGTAAGACTTATATACTAGGTTTAATTGGAGGTGTTATAATGCCTAAAACAGGTAACAAAGTACATTTTATGTATTTAGCTTTATTAACTAATCTTAGAAGAACAAGACGATATCGTTGGAGTTCTACTTGTTTAGCTATGTTGTATAGGAAAATGTGCAGAGCCACAGAAGTTGGTAGTAAAACAATAGGTGGTTGCTCATCACTATTAATGTCCTGGGCATAGTATTGCATGTCATATGTTGCGTCAATTTCTAATAATTTACCAACATACCCTCTCGTGTGCAGATGGAGTAGGGGTAGAGTACTAAACTTTTGAAATAAACCTCACAATGGTGTTGTGGGGTACAGATCAATGTTTGATCACATTCAAACTAATCAGGTAACTCTTCATATTTATTTTCTTATCTTTTACACATCATCTTAAGTAACAAAGTTAAGTTTATTTGTAGTTTTTATGGGCGCTATATCAAGACTTGCAAACATCAATACCCATGGAAGCATATAGAGATGTCCAACTGTGGACTTCATGCACCGTCATCCTTTGTTTTGCAATTGTTGAATGACACCAAATAGATAGAGTTAAATTATAGTTTCATCTCTTCCAAGAAGTCCCTTCTCCACCGAATAATTTAAATGACCTCCACAAAATTGACATGAGAGGAAGAAAGGATGAAAATTGGGTTACAAGACATGCTCAATGGATCAAGATATGGAACAACAGACGTGAGCTGATAATAACGAGTCATCCAATGCAAGGCCCATTGTGTCACATACAAGAATACATGGAATGGTACATTGCCAATTCCATCTATTTTCTATCTGTGCCACCACTACTACAAGATCCAAGGAGAAGCGACCAACAACTAAGGACTACCAACACATTTGAAATCAGTACGACTTCCACACTGTCATACCACGAGACTGCATCAATTTCTCCGAACGTTACGCCAGAAGCAAACATAATTAACACAAGACATTCGTTTGCAACAACATTGGAGGATTTGTTTACAAACTTATTTAGAGTTGATTTTACGACTCCATCTTCAACACAAACTTCCATGCAGTCTCTTTACCAACCGGATTTTGCTAATAAACTTGGTAATTCATCAAATACATTCCAACAACTAGACCTTCATGATGATCTAAATCTTTCACAAGTTCATCCTGAAATCTTAGAGTAACAACCACAACTACGAAACCCACCACGTCACAGACGTTGCTCTCGTTGTGAAACTGGTCATCATTACGGATATAGTTAATTATTAATATTGTTATGAATTTGTTATCATCTTTGTTAATGTACTTTGTCTTCATCAATGTTACCTTAGTAATATGAAACCGTTAATTTTAAAATATTTGTTTCAAGTATAAATAATTAACTTATAATTTAATATTTTATTTATTTTTTAAAAATAAATTTTTATTCTCAAATAAAATTTATTAAAAATTATAATAGAAAAGTTTTAGGATTTAGGGTATTAAAAATTATAATATTAAATAATGTCATTTTAAAAATAATTAATTTAATTAAAATAAAATTTTTATTCAAAATTTCATTTTATCATACTAATATTTAAAAATATTAAGTCAAAATTACATATTTAAATAATAAATAAATAGAATAATATTTAATATTTTTATTTAATTTTTAAAATATAATTATTATTCTTTAAGTATAAAAATTTTAAGCATTAACATTATTATCTAAAATAATAGACTTATTATTTAAATATTTTAATTAGTTTTTAAAAATATAATTATTATTATTTTCTAAAAATATTATTTATTATCATAATTATGTAAAATAAATTTTAATAAACATGTAAAATAAATATTATTTTTATTTTTATTTATTTTTACATAATAAAATATAAATATATAAATATAATTTTAATAATATAATTTATTTTATTATATAAAAATATTAAAACAAATTTAAAAAAATAAAAAATCAACTTTCAGAATTCAGTTCCTAGAGAACCGAATTCTGGCTACCTAGTTACTACTACTGTAATTGGATCTAGTTCTATAAATTAATTTGGTCTGAATCTTTTCACGTAATTTTTTTTATATTATTTCTGTAAAAAGTTTTATTGAAGAATTATATATATATATATATATATATATATATATTTCTTCACTCTCTTATTTTATTTTCTTCAATTTCTTTCTTTTCAATTCCACTCCTGGTTCTATCAAAGCATTAATTTCAATATTAGGAAATGCCATATACTTCCAACAATACATAGAAATTAGATTTCACTCCAAACTCCAAAGGTGCGCTTGTTTGGTCAGCGACTTCTGGATTGGTTAAGTTGGACGAAAAATATTTCATAAACATTTAAATGAGATATTTAAAGATAATTTGTTATGATATTATATTTTTATATATATTATAAAAAATATTTATATAAAAATTACCATAATATTATATATATGTATAATTTTTAATAATTCAAATTACGATATAATATCAGAAAGATGATCACCTAGTCAAGCAAGATATCAAGAAACTCAAGTCCACCAAAATTGCACAATTCCCAAGGTCATCAGTTTGGACACGTGGACCTGAAAGAGTCAAACCGTGTAGCCTCGTGGGCTCATGGGGACCAGAGTCAACGTTTGCAAAAGGGTCATGGGAAGACTTTGATCAAACAAGGTTCACAGTGCTTGTTTCACAATTATTTTGACCCAAATACTGCTGCCCCATGTAAGAAGATTTGATTCTGTCACTGAACTGAAAAGAAATAACAAATTCTGGTTTGTCAAAAGAAGCGGTAATTTTAAGAAACTTATAAATATTTTTTTATAAAAAATATTATCAAGTTGTAGTGAAAATTGCAAAAATATGTTAAAAGCATTTATAGCATTTTTATGATAAGAATTATAACAATGAAGATGCATTATCTATAAACTTGTTACAGACTCTCTCCTTTAAAAATGTTTAAATTAGTATAATTTTTTAAAATTTTATTAAAAATAGAATAAGTCGTACTTCATGAATATGATTTTATTTTTGTGTATTATACAGTTAAAAATAGTTAGACATTGCATTATAATTTGCCGCATTATTTATGTGTAAAAGGGTAAATCGTACTTATATGTTGTAAACTTCTAAAAGTTATACTAGTTATTAATTTTTAAAGGGGATTAACCTGTGTATGTGAAAAGGTTGTTAGTTCATTAGTGATATAGAATATTTCAAGCATAAAGTAATATTGATTCTTACAAGTTGGAAAAGATCTGACTTTGGAACAAGTGGCATCACCAATCCAAAATGATCGATCAAATTTTTACCTTCGTGTACCAGCATCTAAACACAATACACATGCAGTATGTTCAGAAATATAAATAAGGTGGTTATATATGATTTTGCTTTTTTAATGGAAAATAGCCCAAGTTGGGGCAACTTTACCTTGTATTCCCCTTTCCGGTAAATGGTTGATTTTTCCATTTCTAATGTTTAATTCTCTATAGCTCTTCAGATTTTGCTGGAATGTAGGCATGGGGTAACTTAATTTATGGATTTTAACCATAGTGAGAGAAGGTTTCTAGAGAAAGCTATTGTATATGCCATTTCCAGCCATTTGTAGCAGAACTGGACCTGACTTCAATCCCAAGCAATTGCATAAGCTCAAAAATATCAAAAGAGATATTAATTATGGTTCTAAAATAATATTTTTAATCCAATTTAATATCCGTGTATCATACAGTCCTATGCCCTATATTCATTTCAGAAATCAAATTTCTCTGCCTCACATCATAAACATTCAATTAAACTAGTTAACATATATAGGGCAACCAAAACGAAAAGAGGGTAGGATGAGAAATTTTCATGGGTCCAAATAAACAGGTAGCACAGCACTTATTGATCTCCTTCCATGGCCAAAAGAAAAGCATGATCTTTTTACTCTACCACTACCCCCAACACAGGTTTCAATGGTGCTAACTTCATGGACATGCCCATTTTGGTGCTGTATAGCCCCATAGAACTGTCTATTCACTGATGAGTCCATGGAGAAAGACCTCCTCATGGGTTGAACTAAGAATCTTTCATCTTTGGCTCTATCACCGACACACTCATCCCCCATGCTGGTTACTTTTTGAAACTTCCTTTCTTTCTTGCTTTGTGAAGAAAGACCAATAGAACGTGTTGGCAACTCTTCTTGTCTTGCTTCCAAGTTTTGGCCTCTACCATCTTCACTATCCAAATCAATCACAACAAATCCTTCATCAACACCAATGAGGCTTTCAATGTTTTGGCTTTGGTCCTGGGGGGAAGGCCTGGGTGTTATGAGCTGGTCAACATTGACAACATGGCTTGTTAAGGAAACATTTCTTCTACAAAGTGGGCAATGAACATTGTTCTGAAGCCAAACATCTATGCAATCAATGTGAAAGACATGGCTACAATTTGGTATAACCCTGAGCTTCTCATCCTCTTGAAACTCATTCAAGCAAATTGCACACTCACAAGAAAAGCTTCTCTCACCGAATTCTCTGACCCCTTCTTCTGGCGTGTAATGAATCACTGGGATCAACCTAATCACTGCTTCCTCTAGTCCTCTAGGCTCTGATGCTGTTGAGTATGATGGGTATTCACCTTGCCTAACTATAGATAAACGCCTTGTGTGATCAACACGGTGCTGCAAATTGAGGCAACACTTGATGACAAAGATGTAGTAGCCCAGAAGGAAGAAAGATGTGACCGTCATTCCTATTATAAGGATTGCTACGATGGGAGTACTTGTATGAGGAGGATTCCCAGTCTCATAAGGTGGTTGAAAATATGGGGAAAGTGCTTGTGGCACATGGAGTAGATGCCTTTGGCTCACAAAATCCATAAGCCAAATGGGTTCTCTTAGATCTTGGAATATATCACATTAATAGAGTCTCAAGACACTTTCGCTTGAAAATCTATCTGGTATGTTGAATGCTCTAAGAGAAGGGGACCAGGGTTTTTCTCCAAATCCAAACAGGGATATGGAGTGGTTAAAGAGAAGAAAGACTAGGATGATTTATAAACGAGGGTGGGGTATTGAGTAGACATGAGAACGTTTGAAATTCAACGAAAGTCTCTCCAAACGTGTTAACTCCTACCTCAAATTAACACAAAGCTTGCTTTCATGTTCAAATGCACATGGATCCGCATCTACTTTAACATTATTAGGTTCGGATTCACATTAAATTCACTCAAATATGAATCTATTTCAATACTGAGTTATAATTTTAATATATATTTAATTAGATATAATTTACATCTTAATTTTTGATAGTGCATAATGGTGATACTTTATAATTTTAAAAATATGCAAAGAGCTCTTTTTGTTATTTAGACATCTAATTTTTCCGTTGTTTCAAAAAAATAATCTAAATAATGTTTGCCATAGTAGAAAAAAAATAGATTTTAAAAATTTTTCTGTCTAAAAAATAAATAAATTATACACTTGAATAACGAAGATTTTTTTTTTCATACTTTAAAAGTATAAAATATTATGTTACATACTTTTAAAAGTCAGAATCCAAATTACACATAATAAATCATAGAAAGAAATAAAATAAATTCTTCTTTAATTTTAATGTTAAAATATGATTTAAAGTGATTTTTATAAACTTTCTAAATAAGTAATTTTGTATCCACTATAGAGTTGTCGTTTAGTGGCTATTGAATTTCTCTTTAATTTAAAAAAGAGACTTGTGGTTAGTCAAAAATAGTAAAATAGGATTTTTATTTTTATTTTTATTTTGCATCTAATAAGTTTCACGTTTTAGTCTCATTCAACTCTCCTGAGTAAAATAAATATTGGGTTTTTACGAGTGTTCATTGAGTTGGACACCATTCCTTGCCTTGGATTCAAGCATCATCTCCTATTCCTAAAATTTACGTAAAAATAAAAATATGAAAGAAGAGTACGGGTAGGAAATTATTTAAGACTTCAAATGTCACTGTTCAATATTTTGTTCTGTAACGTATGATTTAATTTTTATTGTAGACTCTGTTGACTCAGTGTTGGTCCATTTAGAATGATAATAGCAGTTAATGGATGACCAAGTCCTGACCAATGGAACCATCTGTTTGCAGCGATTAAGTGATAAATGTGTTGAATATAACGTTTAAATGTTTGAGGCCTAATTAATTTCATTGTCACTGGACAAGGAAGGTACCTATAATTATGGATGTTAAAACCGATTAACCCGTATCGGCTCGCTAAAAGTTCGCTTAAAAATGGGTTAATTTGAGCTCAACCCATTTAAGAGTAGACTGACTGGTCAATTCACAAAAAACTAAAAAATAAAAGTTAGTGAATCATTAAATTAATGGCTAGTCCATAAAAAATTAATAAAAATAATTATAATAAATAATAAATAATATTTTATATTAATAAAAATTAATTTTTTTTATTTTTTATTTTTAAAAAATAAATTTTAAGCCAGATCAGCCAGTCTGTTCTGACCCACCATTAGTTTGTATTTTAGTGAGTTGAAATGAAACAGGCTAAGCGAATTAGTAAATCTACAATATTCAGTCTAGTCTGCTAATTGTTTTCAGTACTTCGCGTGTTTTCTCTCTATTTTTTCCTAGTTTACTAAAACTTAGATCAGAAGTTCTAAAATATAAAGATTAATATAGTTAGTGTTTATGATATATAATGGTAGGAAAGAAATTAAATGAACCATGTTAATGAAAGATTGAGAAAATAAATGGAGGGATAATGATGCAAATTGTGCAATATGAAGATTTAAGAGGCCTTGTGCTTCTAATTTGACATCTCAACCATGAGAGAAAAGTCCCTAACACATTCTTCATCATATGAGGCAGCTCCTCCAATGAATCATTAATCACTGGCTTGACCACACTTTTGCCCTTATGTCACTACGACACCGCCACCACCACATTTGAGACGAACTCAATTTTTAGTTGATTTTTTATTAAACATATGTCACTGTGTAGTCCTTATTTTAATTTTATTTCTGCTTTTAATGTTATAATATGATAAGAAAATTTCTTATTATACAAAGTTGAACGCATTTATATGCATTAAAAATATATAGTACTGAATATTTTAATTTGTACCCTATGTATGTCATTGACCAAAAGCTGCCGAATAAGTCACACGTCAGGGGACAAAGATGTGAGTGGGGCTAATATTGCAATATTTTGCGTCCATAAAGGGTTAGAATTTCTAATAGCTAAGTCAAGTCCGTGTCTAGTGCTAATTTTTCTAAAGTAACCAAACTAGGAACATAACCTACGCACTTCAGACCCATTCACCGTTTTCTCTTTTCTAGGGCTCAAAATGTGTGTCTGATTTAGTAGTTTTTTGTTTGGTCCTCTACTCACTCAATGGTGGAGGGCATGATGGACTCTACGAGGAGAAAACCTCCTTCATGATTTGGAAAATACTCCCATTATTATTAATAAATTTCTCAATAATTACGTATAGAGTTAAACATTAAATAATAAAATAATCAAACTTTTTTAATAAATTAATATTAACTTATGTTTATGTATTGTTTTATAATATCTCTCATTTAACTTCTGTAATTTGAAAAAAATAGTTATTTTTACAGACAATTTTTTTAAATAATTTTCTTCTCTTAGAAAGATTTATCTAAAAGTTTATTTAAACTAAATTTAATTCAACTTTTTGAATTTATTTTCTTATTTAAATTTTTAACTTTTGATATTTATCTTTCATGCTTGTTGACTTGAGTTTTGTTATTTAATTATGCAATTTTTTCTTTAATTAAGTATAGATAATTACATGTGGAATAGGAAAATATTTAAGATGATTAAATTATAAAAATTAGCAAAAGTTGTTAACTGTAAAACATGAGATTATTATAGAAAAATATTACTTTATCAATATTTCATGTCCGTTATAAAAACATTACAACTTACAAATAATGAAAACGACCAGACAAATATTGAAATAAAAATGTCTAAAATTTTACTATCTATGAAAGTTTTACTTTACATTATTTTAGTGAATCAAGTTTTTCTGTATAATTTCAAAATTGAAATTTTTTTCAACTAGTCTTTCAAATATTTCAAACATAAATATCATTTGACTTTATTAAATTAGGTATAATTTTAAAAACTTTCATCTTTTTTTTTTTGTTGGAATAAAAAGAGGAGTCATTTTCACTCTTTACCCCCAGAAGCATGAAAAAAAAAGAAAGAAAGAAAGAGAAGATAGGTAACTTTAACGTGGTTTGTCATTTTTTATTTATATCAATGAAATCTTAACAAAATTTTATTTATTTTATAATTTTTAACTAAAAATAATTACAAATCTTTTCATCTATAATTTTTGGACAGATAAAATTTTAAATTCTTGCCTGATACACAATTATTTAAGTCTTCAATATATTCAAAAGATTACATGTTATTTTATAATTAAACATAAAATAAATTTTTAAATTTATCATATTTTTTATTTTTAAGTTTGTTTATGTACAACTTAGAAGAATAATTCACTTTAATCTAACAAATAAATAATGTTACATTTCTTTACTTTGTTATTAATTTAGTCTTTTTGATTTTATTGCAATCCTTGTTTATTATATAATCTGTTCCTGCTTGAGAAACGACTGTCTTTAAATCTCTGATCAGGCGTCCTTCTGATGATTTGCTGATATGGAGGGTACTTGCAAAAGGCACTCTGATGGTAAAGTCAGGATTCGGTTCTGAGCAATAAATGTTATTTAATGATGGGAAGTCAACCCCTTACCTGTATTTCTTACCTTTCTTTTATAGACATTTTATTGGGCTAATGGGCCTGAGTCAGCCTTTATACTGTGGCCCATTAGCCTGGTTTAAATAATATTTTATTTATTATCCTTAATTAGATTATTTACCTTTTAATCCTGACGAGGGGTACTCGGTCTAGTACGCCGAATAGGTATTCGGTTTCTTTTTCCTGTGGGTGGAACCGAGTTGATTCCTTTCCCAGTACACTAGCCCCACAAGTCCGGCGAGTTGCGAAGCAAGGGCTTTTAAATGCAAATGGTAATGTTACAATAGGTATTCGGTTGGAGTGTTTCTTACTATACCGAGAGGATCATTCGGTTAGGGTAAATTACAATACATCGTAGGGGGTGTCCGGTTTCGAGTGATGGTGACATTTAAACAATGTGTTAGGTTTTATACTAAGAGGTAATCGGTTTAGTAACAACATGATACAGGCCGAGATTATATTATAAATAATAAATTTGCGAAGGAATATTCTAGAATGTTAGTTTTGAGGGTTTGTCAGAGGGTATATGAAACGAAAGGGTGCTCCATCTCATCCGTTGATCTGGAAGGGATCTGACGGTTTGAAACGAAAGGGCGTCTTTTCATTTGCCCGACATCAGTCCCTTATAAATATGTGGTGGTCCCTGCATCCCTTTCTTACTCTTTTGCTCTGTGCCGAACCCTGCATTCCCTTGCTCCAAACCGACCAGTGTTCAGAGATCTTAGGCTTTTCTTCCCTACCGACTACTTGTAAGGTGCGTTTCACTTTTTTTTTACTTCTTTTCTATCATGGCTGATCGTATTGAGTGGGAGGATTCCCTGTCGAATGCCTCGGGGCCGAGTACCATTGAGGTCGATATTATGAACGGAACCGAGGGGAGTGGCGAAGTTTCGTTTATTTCAAATCGGAGGGCTGAAGAGGCACAGGTCGGGGAATGCAGTAACGAAGCCGAGACGTCAACGTCAAGTGATACTGATGCTCCTGAACCCCTACCGAGTACTAGTCCTCCCAGGGAGAGGCAGGTGTTTCCTCCCTGTACGGTACCTGGTTATGAGTGGGTGCATGGTGAGGTGGCCGCATACTTTTCTCGTTTTAAAAGAAAT